AGTTCTCGACTAGAGATATCCAGAACTCTGTGTTCCAATGTGGAAGTTGAGTCGAACTTACACACGAGAGGCCTCCTGTTACCTGCTTCCTTCCCACTTCACCATTTCTTCGATCGGTTTTCCCCCAACTGTGCCCGGCGTTCATGAACAGAGCACGTGGTGGTAATCACTATGTAGGCACTTCCAACATGTCCGCAAAAGGCGTGAGATACTTTTTGTTTGAGGCTGAGGACTTGATATTCCGCGATGCACACGTGCTGCTCCCACCGAACACGATGAATAGTGCGAAAATAACGTCCATCGAAAATTTGTTGGCGATAGACATCTTTTGCGCGAAATGGCCAGGTTTATTACTCTGCGTATTGTGGTGCTGTACACTCGACTTTTCAAATGAAAGCTAATTTCATACTTACGCCACTGATACCGTGAACTAGAGAAGACCCAACGAACTTTCCAACCCCAGTATAGATCCGTAGATGTTTTTTCTGTATGATGCATTTGTTTGAATTAAAAGCGATTTGGTTTTCGGTGTCCATAGTTAAAAACATTGTGTCACTACTGCTGAGTAAACACGAAATTTGAGTAGTGTCATAAAAAAGATTTTTTAAGGAGATAGAGCCAGACCAAAGGTGATGGGAAAATTTGTGTTCTAGTCTGCTGCTACTAACACAACTATGGACATCAACAAACAGATAAGCTTGTTCTTCTGACACTGGACCGTTGCTAGGCCCCTAATCATTCTTTCATTTTTTATACGGGGTTATGATTGATTGATTGATTGATTGATTGGTGGAGGGTATCTCTATCGAATGCCCGTTAGCTTTTGTGCCCTGTAATGTATTGAATCCTGAACAACTGCAGCCTTGAGTGATTCCCTTGTTGGACATGTGTCATGCATCACAAATCAATTATTGAGCACGATTGGCCTCAAATAGGAATCACACCATACTTCGCACATAAGAGTGGGGGTCTTCCGCTCCACCGCTTTGCAAGTGTACGGTTTTCTACTCCGGTGACATTTGCAGTTGTATGAAGCGACCGGGCTCGAGAGGGTGGGGTGGAGTGTTTTGCGGACAGGGATGGATGGATTCAAATAAACCATACTCGCGGACACAAATTCATTGACAAAATTGAACAAACTGAATGTGAATAGACCTAAACCGGGAATATGTTGGATAGCTGTGGCACCGGTAGTTTGTGTGTTGCAAGTAAGATGGGTTCCCTTAGAAGTAGTTTTATGCCAAACAACAACACCCCCTAACAGTCGTTCACGATGAGAATACACTTGGTCTCGGGTCTGATAATGTCTGAATGGTCTACCGATAGAGACTAGATTTCGCCCATTTCTAAGAGTGAGTGTAGATAGTTTCGAGTCTCCCCTACCAACCTAAGCTGATTAGCCCCGGTGAATTGAGTACTTTCTTTTGCTTTCCTATTACCTCTCTGTTTGCCAATCTGGAAAGGGAACTCGATAATCAGAAAATATCTCTCCCAAAGGTCTCATGTGATTGAAAGAAGTAAAATCTCTTCTAGCCCGTCCTTGTCTCAGATTTGTACCCCCATTTAATTTTAGCTACAGTTTGGGGCTTCAAGGGCACATTCCCGTTCCAATGCAGTTTATAGCTAGGTATGCAGCTTCCTCAACTCCCAAGCCTCTTTCGGAACGACGTCCAGTGACATATACTGGTCGAGTCAGCTGGTAACACAACCACGTGTTTAATACATACCGTGGTCTAGCGGTTCGAGCATTACTGCTGAGCGTGTGTTCACAAGGCCATTTTCAATTGTGTTCGGTTTCAATACAACAATGTACATTAATGAGGTCACCGGATCTAGGGTGCGATCCACACCAGCGCGGTCACCCGGGCAGTTTTGCGAACAAGTACCGGTCCTTAAATTTCTCACACCAAACTGGCATGCGTCATGTATGTTACAATTTTGTGCCGGGTCTGTTTACTTGGCTACTTTTCCTCGTCTGGAATTAAACTAGCTCGGCGGGGCAGCAGTATTTCATAGTTTTAGTTTTAAAAATGCATAAAAGAACTCTGTAAAAAAAGTATCTCGATCTTTGTTTAACTACCTCTGTCTGTGATGTAACTCATATTTATTGAAGAGAATCAAACTAATTCAATAGAACCGTTGTGACGGAAACGGATTTGACTGACTAGTTTTGGCCATTATTACCCTCAATTCAAATCGATAGCCTATTCAGAACTCGCCTAAACATCTCATGGCGTCATTGGTATATGAACTACTCATGTTGTTGGATGACCACAGCCCATGAAGTTGTGCGCTGTCTGGCGGATCAGGACTGTCTCCAAATGTTGTCCTTTATAAAACGGCGTGTTAAGACCTTGTCAACCTTACTGTCTTGCAGTCAAAAACGCTCTTGCTTGATACGTACTCTGAATTCGTGTAAGTGGTTAAGTATAAGTATATGGATACCCACCAAAAGCTTGGGCGATGATGGTCAAGCATTTAAAACCATCAACCGATCTCACTAAATCTCATTTGTTCTAACCCCACCACTGCCGCCTAACTTTAATCATTTTCTTTATATCACATGGCAGCCCTTTTATTGGTCGCTCCCCCTCCCTGAAACTTGTCCGGACAATCATATATTCAATGAAAGAAGTTTAACTTCTCCTTTTCCCCACTTCTGACGTCCTTTCTTTTATCATTGTCTTTTCATACTTTTCCTGTTGGAAACAGTTTTCATCCTACCGTGTCCTCTAGATTTAGTCACAAAAAGTTTTTAAATGCTTTCCATACTAATCATGTACCTCTTCACTGATATTCCCTGGGGTGTTACAAAAGGATCGATGCCAGATTAAGGCCACTCTGACATTTAACCATATCTTGTGGTTGACACTCCCGGCTCATATCGTCCGTCCACATTCTCTCCCAACAAACCAAAGTCAGTTCGTATGGTAATATCCGACCTTTGTCACCCTCATCCTTCTGTATTGTCTAAATGTATTTCTACGTTGTACGCTCAATCCACGAACAAACTCGTCAACACACGCAAAAACCCTCAACTCCTTTTTAGTTCATTACCTAGCCTGCTTTTTGTCACCCGGACTGTAATTTTCGTGATCGATCCTCGCACTTAGCTCACTTCTTCCTTCGAATTCATAGAGTGCAATAAAGTAATTTCTCTACTTGACTTGGTGAATGGCTTAGAAAAACAGGTGTGCATGTTCATAGTGAGGACGCTGTGAGTGAAAGAAAAATGAAATGTGTGAACTTTTAGATTAAAAATGCTAAATATGAAGGGTAATAACGGATTTTTTGAGGAAATATGAACGATGCTCTTCTTATAGTTTCACGTTGACCATCTTTTGCTATGAGTTTCTAATTACCCACCACTTGATGATGAACAGCAGAAGGAGATAAACCCCCACGGTCAAAAGGACTTAAAGTTCAGTCACAACTGTAGTAACACCGTCTACGTCAGTCCACACTATCTACCCTGTTCCGATCACTTCGATCGTGAAGAGAAACCAATTGCGCAATCATGTGGCGTGATTTGTACATGTTGCCAGGATCAATTCTGTTATCGATTATAGGATCTTCAATTGAGAAATTGATTTCTTGACTTAATACCAGCCAAAACACGAGCCCATTTACTTGGCTTCCCCCGTCTCGCTATCGTCTTCTCAGCGTTTGACCCAGATCAAGTGCGATACTATCACCCAGCCTAATTCTTTTGCAACTAAAAGATAAAGTGGTCTTATGGAATCATCTATGAAATATCTTGGGAATATGATACAGACTGGCATCCCCATTATCACTCAGTGTTTTCTACCACAAAAAGGGTTGTTCTTCAATTCTACCCTCGTTTAATCTCTCTTTCTCTCTCTGATGATGAACACGATTTTCGATTACCATGTGACACCAGTGAGTGACGTTGAGGATATCTCTAAATGGAAAATCGTTTGTGCTGACTCACCATCTTCCCATGATGGCATTAGTTGTTGCAGCTTTAGTACTCGTATCACATCTTTAAGTGGAATACGATGTTGTAGGATCAGCGTTCTTATGAATCTCACACAGTGACAGAAATATTGGAGTGAAACAGATATGCTTTATTATGAAGGTGTTTTTTATTTGCTGTGCTCTTTAAAATCGGAAAAAACATCCTGTTTTGCGTTGCTCATTTGGTGTTAGTCAACGTGAGCGATTTTCCGTGTAGATCTGACCTCCGTCAGAATTGTGGTGCGTGCTGTGATGGCTGGGCCTGACACAAATTACGCGCCAAAGGTTCACAAAGCATTTGTCATGTTTGGTATCGTTCCTCACTCACCGTTGTTTAATTGCGATAATGTCTTCCAAGCCGAGGTCGAAGACAAGCGAGTTATATAATCAACATTCAGGTACTGACTCACGTGTTCAATCCTTGTATTCTGAACAGCCCGTTGGGACGTGTGTAACGCACATCTCCGAACAGAAACGCTGTTTCTTTTGAGTTGGACAGCAGTTCGAAGGCAAGCAGGTTTGATAAGCCCATAAATTGGTTCAGTTGTTTGATAACCTTGGCCGTGCTCATGCTGGTCGGATGAGCACTCAAAGCAGGGTCGGATGTGGGTCGCTCACTTCATGACTGGATACACTAAGACTGAGTCGTGTCATCAACAGGGAGTGTTTTCCCTTGTTTTATTTATCCAGTCAAGAATTCATACGAACACGTGTGCAGTCTGTGTTCAAAAATCCTGGCCGAATAAGGACGTAGTTGACTCTCTAGTGTCAATAGACGGTTTTCAAGTTTACCGGCAGGATCGTGGAACCGGAGGAAAAAAGACCGGAGGGGCTGTTGCCACATATGTCAATGTTTCCTGGTGTATCAAGTCCCATGTTTATCAGTACTGCTGAACAGGTATTGAGTGCCTAACTATACAGTGTCACCCTAGATTTTCCCGTTTTACTCACACAATTTTGACTAACTTGTATATAGCCCCCTCCTGTACACAGTCTGATCGTATGTCNTTTTTGCCCCACTTTTAGATGTTAACCTGCACATAATCGTTGGTGACTTCAATCATACTAGCACTTATCCACTTTTATCATTGGGTATGACAGATCTCTGTCACTCTCCCACAAGAGTTAACTCTATACTGGACAGAGTTATTCCCAACCACCCAACCCTTTTTTCGTTAGCACTAAAAGCTCCTATTTCTTCCAGTGACCATTGCTTACTCTTAGTTCGACCTAAAGTTTATTCACATAGTGCGTACAAATCTTTCTCTCAATCTGAGCACATCAGACTTCGTTTTCGTAACTTCTCACTTGCACGTGTTTCTCTCCCGAATGAATCTCTCAGACAGGCCTCCCGATGGTTTTCATCATCTTCTCTGCTAACACGTGTCTCCCTATACACCCAAACAATCAATACCATTTTTAATTACA